TTTTTTGTAAATTTTATAAAATTTAAATGCAAATATAATAAAGAAATCTACTAGTAAGAAGCTTAATCTTTATAAAAATTATCTAAAATAAACTACTTCTTGTTTTATATTCTTGATATTTTATTAACAATATATCTACTTGTATAAAACCAAGTATAATATCAACTTTGGATGTTTTCTATAATGTTTTTTCTGTAGTTTGATTTTTTGAATTGTTGATTAAAAGATCATCAGAAAGAGTTGTAACTACTTGCTACTACTGATGATTATTATTAATAATCTATAATATATAATTAGATATAATATTAAATTTTTTTAAACAAAAATTTATTTGGTTTAATATTAGAGTAAGAATATAAACTTAATAGTAAAATTAGGCAAAAGCAATACAATCAACTTTCTCTAAATGCAATATAAAAATTTTGTATTTTGCATTTAAGAAGATAAAAATCTATAAGTATATATGTAATAAAAACACAGCAAGACCGTGCATTTATAAAGATTTTTTATAAAACATGCATTTAGAGAGGTTGCATTTATAGAGATCTAACCGTAATAAAATTTTGCAAAAAATTTATTTTTTAAAAAGCATATTATTTTTGTTATATAAAACTAATCTGCATGTTACACTAGGCAAACTTCTTTTCATTAATATACATATAATAAATATAATTTAGCCAATTATATTTATTTATAACCACGTGACCAGTAAGCCATTGCTATATAAATTCGATAACCTCTCAAAACCGACACAAGGGTGTACTGTATTTTAAATTTTAGAAATAAAATTTATGTAAATAGGTTTTAAAAAATTTTTTAATACATACAATCGACCCTAAATACAAAAAATCTCTTTATAGCAAACCTACTCTAACAAAAAAATTATTAAAGTCCGGTATAGAAGCATAGTAAATTACTCTAAAAACTTTTTACAATAAAAACCATCAGCTCATTGTAAAGAAAGTTGACTGTATTCTAAAAGTTGATACCCTTTTTATTAATATATTTTATTTACGTCTTACAAAATATTGAGAACCAGGTCTTAAAATTTGGTTCTAAACCAAACCAAGCTTAACTTAGGTTTGATTCTAAACCAAACCAAATTTAACTTAGGTTTGGTTCTAAACAAAACCAAGTTTAACTTAGGTTTGGTTTTAGTACCTAAACCAAACCTAAACTAACACTTTACCATCCTTAACTTCAGCCCCACGAACATCTTCCAAAAACTTTACAGGATCAATAAATGTAAGTGGAGGGGAAGGCTTAGGTGGCATAGGAGTAATCAATTGCGTGGCTGATAGCGCTTGTTTAAGAGATACCCTACTTCTTTGTGTATTTGTCTCGAAAATTTGTTCTTCTAATTTTGGAATAAGTTCCAAAGTTATGTTTTCACTGTCTCCATTATTTTCACGTTGTCCAGTCAATTCTTCAATTATTTTGTTAGCATAAGCGTTTAATTTTGCACTTAATTCTGTAGAATCTTGTGGTATTCGGTTTTTATATTTCCGCGTGGCGAATCCGATAGCCGGCTTTTCATACGGTGTATATTGACGATCTTTTGTTCTGCCGAATATACGTGCGCTTGAAGGCGCATATTTGGACATTGATTGCGTGCGATCCGGAGTAGATGCAGCAGAGATTGACACCGATATGGTTGCCGTAGTTGTCAGCCCTTCTGCTGTTGACGTGGCAGTTGCTGTCACTTTTGATGGTTTTGGTATAGAATTTATAGCAGCCTTTGACTCCTTCACCAAAGGTGGTTTATATGAGGAAAGCGGCGCAGATCTTTTCTTGTTTGTTGATGTCTGCATAGGTTTGGTTTTATTAGAGCCTACGACTGGTACACTTATCGTGCGGGATGGTCGTGTTGGTTTCGTACTGTTGGATTTGCTAGTATTCAAAACTCGACTAGCTTTTGTTTTTTCTTCTTGATTTGTAGTTCTGTATTCTTTTTTTTCTTTTCAAAAGCTTGTTCTATGTGTCTTTTCCAAGAATATTTTTCTATAGGCCTTCTCTTCTTCTAGTTGCTTTGGAT